TTAACAAGGGATAACTGATCCATTAAACATGGCAAGTGGAACTAGAACAGTTTACTCCAGTGAGCGAAATGAAGGTTTCAGTTTGACATTCCAACCACCTGAAGAAGTCCGGGGCGTACAACGGCCGAAACGTTGTAATAAGTATGTCGACAAAGATGAGGACAATCGTCCGAATAATGTAAATAGTGAACTTATTTTTAAATGTAACTTTTCTATTTTTTATTTTATTTTATGTTATTATATTTTTATTCTTAAATATAATCTATTTATGGTTTTTAAAATTTATTTTTATGTATGACTAGTGCATTAATTAAGTTTTTTTTTTTTTTTTTTTTTTTTTGTGAGGTCTCTTTTGGGGTCATAAATGCTCTGCTTGTTTCTCCAATATATTGGGAGGAACAGTTTTGGCAATTTATTTTATAAATGCTTGCTTCAGAAATGTTATTGCTATTAGTGTTTGAGTATCTGAGGATATCCATAATGGTTTTGGAAGTATTTGTGACTATTTTAAGATTAGGTTATTCTGGATAGTGGACGTGGCAGAGTTGGTCGGTAGTATGATGTATCTGTTTAATTGTAATTTATTATTACGGATTACGTTATTATTTTTTTTTGGTCGAATATTTTGTATGCTTTTCTTCTTGCGTTGTAGATGAAATGATATGGATATTTTAGGTTTGTGAATGTGTTTTCTATGTATGTTTCTTCATTAGGTAAATATTGGGGGCTGCAGATTCTTAATGCTCTCAGATAGAAACCTATAATAATTCCAAATTTTATTTTACAAGAGTGGTTTGAGTAGAAACTGATCAGATCATTTTTGTCTGTAGCCTTTCTGTAAACGCCAAAATTGAGTTCGTTATTATTTCTATGTAATATGATATCTATGAATGGAAGCGTGTAGTTGGTTTCAGTTTCTAAAGTGAAGTCTATTGCAGGTTCAACGTTGTTAAGCTTTCTAGAAACTCTACAAAACAGTAAAATCGACCTTACTAACCTAAACGCTCCTCTGTGGCTAAATCGGTAAAAGCACGTCAGGCTATATGATGGTTCTCTAGGATACAGGTTCAATTCCTGTCGGAGGACGTATATTTTCTTTGAGATTTCTTGGACATTCAAGCCGGTATATGTTGTTAATACTGTTTATTACAAACAGGGCATTTACTGAAATATTTATATCTATAAAAATAATGTAGAAACAAAAACTATATTAAAATATTTGTCGGGCTTAGTCCATCAATTTTCCGACTGCTGTCTAAGTTAAAATTGTAAATCTCTATTTCCGATACGAATACAGTCCATCCCATGGGGTTGAATAAGATCAACGTAGTTAGCTTTTGGCTAAAATAGATCTATACCTATATGAGGTAATTTTCTGTATTTTTGCTATGTAATTTATATGCTCTGTTATATTAAATACATTGAGCTCTCTTTGTAGATCAGTTTTAATATTTGATATTATTAGGATCCAGTTGGATTATGTACTAACGGATTTATTACCTGTACTATATATATATATATATATATATATATATATATATATATATATAAAAGTACAACAGACAACGAATGAATATTATGTTTTATCATTAGCCGTTCTATACTTTATACGATTGCTTTAATTTCGGGTGAAAATATAGACACAAATTGTCCAACATTTGGATATTTTCTATTAGGCTCTTACTTGATCTAAGCTTTCGGGTCACATAGAGCCATCTTAAGAGTGGTTATATGGACATTTAAATAAATATATTCTCCATCAAAGATGATATTCTGTTATGTTGACATAGAAGATTGGTATGCGACGATAACGGTATCGGAATAAAAGACACAGGTCGTAATTTTCACCCGAAATTTAAGCAAATATACGAAGTTTAGAACGGCTCATGATCAAACATAATAGACGTTCGTTGGATGTTATATTTAATAATATATGTTTAAATAATGATCTGCTGCCCCAACACACACACACACACACACACACACACACACACACACACACACACACCGTACTTATTATAAAACCCAGATCCTGTGTGTGTCTGTTCGTTTATATATTGGATCGGATTTCTTACATTTTTCAACCGATTTTAACAAAACTTCACAGGACTACGTAAATCTACCTTGCGGTGGTTCTAACAGCGCCAAAAATTGGAAAAACGCAATTGTTTTTGCACGAAATCAATTTGAAAACACGATTAGGAGGCATCGCTGTTGCGAGAATGAAAGGGGACAACTCATATCGAGTTATACTTATTATAAACCCAGGTTGTGTGTGTGTGTGTGTGTGTGTGTGTGTGTGTGTGTGTGTGTGTGTGTGTGTGTGTTTATATATGAGATCGGATTTCCTACATTTTTCAACCGATTTCAACAAAACTTCTTTTTTTTTTTTGGCAGGTAGTGTTTCTTATTGTCTTGCACACTTTTTTTTCTTTTATTTTTACATTCAGAATGCTTTAAGAATTCCATTTACAAGACAATTGTTTATAATAAAATTCTATTCAATCGGTAGACTCATAACGATTGAAAACAATGTTTTGTTTGAGTTTGGGTTTGACCAATTCGTAAAAACAACAAAAAACAAAAAAAATCTTATTAAGACATGCGTGTCCATCAACCTTAAACAATAATCTTTGTCAATTTTATTTTTCAGTCTTTATGATGGTCGATACTGATCTATCTCTTACTGTTAAATCCCCGGGCTCTACAGCTAGTATATATATATATATATATATATATATATATATATATATATATATATATATATATTTGAATATGCTAATTTTGTTGTTTAGATTAATGTCAGTAAGAAATGTTTATGGGACGTCCCCAAAGATACCGACGTTTATTTCTTATGAACTATTGAAAATAAATGTCTAAAAATACCGGACACTAAATGAAACATTTTTTTTTTTTTTTTTTTTTTTAATTTTTTGTCTTTGAAAGTAATTAGTACCCTGGCGATGTGTTAATTACAAACACCATCTGCCAGTCGATGAACGCCTTGTGTTAATCTATATCAAATTATTCCGCCTAATAAAATAGTGCAGATTCGATAATTAAGAACTCGCCAATAAGCTCACCCGTACGTCTCACCTTGGTCTGGCAACCAATTGATTATACGATCACTAAAACGATATCGCCTAATTATGCTGCAGATGGTAAAACAGGACGCTGAACGAAGCAATGCATACGACTTCTGATCAAAATGTATCGGGACTGTTGCTAACATAACTGATCTAATCTACGTAGAGAAATGTCGTTTGGTCCAGATTTACCTTGAACTCTGTCGCGCATGCAAACTAAGTTATCAATTTCTCGCTCACTTCGGTTATTTATAGCAACCATTGGAAGGAAAGTGTGTAGAGTGTGGTCGTCGCACCACATCACAGAAATTCCGTTAACAGTAATTTTAGAACTCAAAAAAAGTGGTTAAAGCAAGTTTACGAAGGACCCCGCCACTCAACACTGGAAAGATCACTAACAGCTACTAGAGTTGAGAAACCAGTTTTTTAAGAGAAAAAAATGTTTAAATGTTTACCGAAAACAGTACTGGTTGTTTGGTCAATAAAAAGTATTTGCAGCTGAGAGATTCATAAACGTTTCAGAGCCTTGAAAAAAATGTTAGAGTTTAAGATTAGTGTTTCTTTCGAGTGTGACACTATTTAGCTATGGTAATTAGCTAACTAATTAAGCATGGAAATTAAAAATAAGAAATACTTAAGGGGAGAAAGAGCTATAACGAAAGACATACCGAACGACATTATTTTTTTTAACAAAAGAAAAATGGGTAAATATTTTATTTTCATTTACGAAGAAAGATATTTTTTGGCAGAAGAAAAATTCGTAAGAGAAGCAGATTTCATTAGAATTAATTAATGTCATGATAAGAGAGGGACGCGCCAAGGGAGACAGAATACGGGTAAAGGATAACAATTTCACCACACATGTAGCAATAATAAAAATTTCGATTCGGTCAGCTGCATATAGGCCAAAGTCATCGAAATTCTTGGATTCCGACGAAGAAAGCCAGCCGTATGTATACAGACCTTGATATGGTCATTGTTACTGCCCGTTCACACTGTTAACGACAGACTTTCTGTCACTGAGAACGGGTATCTGGAAATGCGACAATATTGAGACGAGAAAGACAAATAGATTTGGTCTTCGGGTGGAAAACGACCACCCAGTTAAAAGTTGGTGGGGGGGATTAAGGGTAATGTCAGTCGGTCACGTGACCATTACAGAAAAGTATAAGGGTTCGAATCTTGCCAAAAGCTTAATCTTTATTTCCGATCGGCGCTAGTAATTAATGGCCGTACATTGACGTTCTTATCAGTTGTGATAAAAAGCAACTGAAATTAAAATGATAGAATACTGATTACAAATCAATAATGATTGACAATGCTTCATCTAATAATAATAATAAGATTCAAGATAATATAACTACTTGTTTATTAAAGGTCGTAGAATGACGGTCTGTGTAGTTGCGATGAAAAACAAATGAAATTAAGATGAATGAAATAACAGTAAAAAAATAAATTTTGATTGAAAATGATTTATTTAATAACGATAACATTTAAGCCTCATTTTTATTGTTATATACACGAAATTTAAAAATCTTACTCACAAAACTCTCGACATATTGATTCCATCTTCCTCAAAATACGCACATTTTTTCCTTTGATGTTTACACGAATACTTCACGTTCGTCTTCAACCCAAGGTATTCAGACGCAAGATTCAGTTTAGATCAAAGTAAAGCTTCCCAACTATCGACGACAATGTATATCTGTCGCTTGATTTGATATGAATTTATTAAGTCTTTTATCTGAAATCTGATAAATCCTTACGGTAAACCAAATATTGTTTGTATTTGCAGCTGACAGTTTGATAAAGGTG